TCCAGGCTCAGCCTGAAGACTGTCGGCCTGATTTCCCACTCCACACCTCTACTATTTCTGTTCCTGGCTAACACAGTGAAACCCCACCTCTACTAAAAATACAAAAAATTAGCCGGGCGTGGTGGCGGGCGCCTGTAGCCCCAGCCACTTGGGACACTGAGGCAGGAGAATGGTATGAACCTGGGAGGCGGAGCTTGCAGTGAGCCAAGATCGCACCACTGCACTCCAGCCTGGGAGACAGAGACTCCATCTCAAAAAAAAACAAAAAACAAAAGAGGTAACAGAAGAGGTGACAGAGCAGTTTTGTTGGCCAGCTAAAGCTAAAGCAGCAAAGGAGGGAGAGGTTTGTTCCTATCCTTCCGCATCCCCTCATTATTGTGAAGAAAAAGGGTGGCCTGACCCTCCAGATGTTTCTTTTCTGGAGGACACTGGGCAAAAAGTAGTTGCCCCACTGACTGTTTGAGCAGTGGCTTGAGCGACCACTCTCAGTTCTATTCAGGCAGGAATTCAGCAAGCTAGAAGAGAGGGTGATTTAGAGGCCTGGCAGTTCCCTGTTAGGATACACCCCCGAGATCATCAGGGAGATATAGCTACATTTGAGCCTTTTCCTTTTTAATAACTCAAAGAATTTAAACTAGCTATTAATCAATATGGACCAGGTTCTCCTTTTGTAATGGGACTGTTAAAGAAGGTTGCTGTCTCCAGTCAGATGTTGCCAGTGGGGACAATAGGATTACTTCTAGGCAGGTCTAGATTAAAATTTAAAAGGAGTGCAAGTACATACAGGAGTCATTGATTCAGATTACCATGGGGAAATTCAAATTGTTATATCTACTTCTGTTCCCTGGAAAGCAGAGCCAGGAGAGCGTATAGCACAGCTCCTGATTGTGCCATATGTGGAAATGGGGAAAAATGAAAGTAAATGAACAGGAGGATTTGGAAGCACAAATAAACAAGGCAAAGCAGCTTACTGGGTGAATCAAATTACTGATAAACGTCCTATAACTATCCAGGGAAAGAAATTTAAAGGTTTGGTAGATACGGGAGTGGACATTTCAATCATTTCTCTACAGCACTGGCTGTCCACATGGTCAATTCAACCCGCTCAATTTAACATAGTTGGAGTTGGTAAAGCCCCTGAAATATATCAAAGTAGTTATATTTTGCCTTGTGAAGGGCCCAATGGACAACCTGGGACTGTTCAATCAATTATAACTTCTGTACCTATAAATTTATGGGGAAGAGATTTATTACAACAATGGGGAGCACAAGTTCTAATTCCAGAGCAATTATATAGCCCACAAAGTCAACATACAGTGTATGAAATGGGGTATGTCCCTGGTGTAGAACTAGGAAAAAATTTGCAAGGTTTCAAGGAACTGCTTCAAGCGGAAAGACAAAGTTCCCACCAAGGTTTAGGATATCATTTTTTATGGTGGCCATTGTTAAGCCTCCAGAATCTATACCTTTAAAATGATTAACAGATAAGCCAATTTGGATAGAACAATGGCCACTAAGTAAAGAGAAACTGGAGGCTTTGGAGGACTTAGTTACTGAACAATTAGAAAAAGGACACATAGCTCCAACATTTTCCCCTTGGAATTCTCCAGTTTTCATAATTAAGAAAAAATCAGGTAAATAGAGAATGTTGATTGACTTAAGAGCCATTAATTCAGTTATACAACCTATGGGGACACTGCAGCCAGGACTGCCTTCTTCTGCTATGATTCCAAAACATAGGCCTTTAATAGTCATAGATTTAAAAGACTGTTTCTTTACTATCCCCTTAGCTGAGCCAGACTGTGAACAGTTTGCATTTACAATTCCTGTGGTAAACAACCTGCAGCCTGCTAAGCGTTTTCATTGGAAAGTGTTACCATGAGGCATGTTGAACAGTCCAACAATTTGCCAAACGTATGTAGGGCAAGCAATTGAACCTACTCATAAAAAATTTTCACAGTGTTACATTATTCATTATATGGATGATATATTTTGTGCTGCCCCTACTCAAGAAATATTACTCCAATGTTATGATCACTTGGAAAACTTGATTTCTTGTGCCAGTTTAATTACAGTTCCTGACAAAATTCAGACTTACTCCTACTTGGGGACCTTAGTAAATGACACTACAATAGCGTCACAGAAAGTAACCACATGTAGGGATCAACTGAAAACATTAAATGACTTTCAAAAATTACTAGGGGACATTAATTGGATACGACCTGCTCTAGGCATTCCTACTTATGCTATAAGTAATCTATTTTCTATCCTTAGAGGAGATCCTAGTCTCACTAGCCCTCGGCAATTAACAAAGAAGGCTAAGGCAGAGTTACAGTTGATTGAAAAGCAAGTCCATAAGGCACAAATAAATGGAATAGATTCAGAGAAGACTCTAGATTTGCTAATTTTTTTCAACTCAGCATTCGCCTGCTGGTGTTATTGTTCAAGAGCAAGATCTTATAGAGTGGCTTTTTCTTCCACATACTGATTCACAGACTCTAACTCCTTATTTGGATCAAATTGCCACTATGATAGGAAATGGGAGAACTCGGATTGCTAAATTACACGGATATGATCCTGGGAAAGTTATTGTCCCTCTCATGAAGGCACAAATACAGCAAATACAGTAAGCTTTTATAAATAGTGTCTTACTTGTCAAATCCATTTAGCTGAATTTGTGAGTATTCTCGATAACCATTTT